TGGGAATTTCAAACACCAAGGAAAGGCAGGACTGGTCCTAGACACAGCTGGGGCTTGGGGTCATTCTTGAAATCATACTAAGTTTCACGAAAAAGAAATGAAACTTGTCAATGTAAATATCCAGCTTTTCTTTCTTCCTAATTATTCTCTTCTCAGGGATAACCCCGAGAGCTTTCGGATTTTGTTTTAAGGGACACCTTCTTCCTTGGAAGTAGCTTGCTGGCATTTTTCTCCTCCTTCATGTTAAGATACATCTCCCATTTCCATGTTAAAATACATCAGACGGGGGGCCCAGAGCCTAAGGGGTGGGGTCTGCAGACCAGCTGCATCTGCATTACCTGGGAACTTGGTGACAACGCAGGGGCGCAGGCCCCTCCCAGACCTCCTGAATCAGAGATGTCCTGGTGGTTCATGTGCACATTACAGACACAGAAACACTGATTCCGGGACCCCCACCGCATCTAAAGGACTTGCCTTCCTCCCCACCATCACTTTCTAATTCCACTGCCGCCACCTCGCACCACAGAGTTACTGAGCATATATTGTTCTCACCCCTTTTACACTCTGGCCCATGTATGGGCACACGCCCATTCTCCTAATGTCTTTAACCATGTTGAATTTACTAGCATTAAGACAAACAAGACATATCAAATACAGAAGCGAAGCAAAGACACACAGAAAAGAAAAAAAATACACAAACTCGAAAGGATTACACCGTGTCTGGAAGGCATGCTGCAAATCCTGCCACTGCCGTGACCTCTGGCCTTCTCTTGGGCTCCAGACTCATAAGCCTTGATGCTTGTAAGTGTTGCCTGGGAGACTTGTCCCCTAGTCCCACAGGGCTGGTGCGGCAGCAGCCCAGGACCCCTCGAGTCCGGGCCACCTCCAGTCCTGCTGCTTCCTGGAGGGAACTTCCCCCCAGCTCACTCTCGAGCCCCTTACCCCCTTTCCCGGGACAGAGAGGTAGGCCTGAGACACTGATTATTTTGTGGCCAAGAACCAGAGAGCTGAGTCCCGCAGGATAGGAGACTCTCCCAGGCTCTGCCCACTTTATGATTTTTGGTTTCTTTTTCAAAGTATTTATATCAGCAGTTCTGTCCCCCCACTCCCCCTGCTTCCCTTTAAAGAGACTGCCTCAACCCAGGGCAGTGACTTCACTGCGGCAGGTCCCTCAGTCTAATCATAACGTGGCACAGGCAGCATATTCAAGAATCATACGCATTTGCGACATGGGGTCATTTCCTAACAGCTTCTGGGCTCAGGGTCATTAGCATGAGGGTAAAGACTACTCAGGGATGGAAGCCAATCACAGTTATAAAGCACAGACTAATAACAGCTTTTCTCTGAGTTCTTTCACCAAGGCACCATCCAGAAGCAGTTAAAAGCACAGGTCAGGGGACTTCCTTTTCTGCCACTTACTTGCTATATGACCTTGGACAAGTTACTGAACCTTTTGGTGTCACAATTTGCTCATCTGTGAAAGAAAGACAAGGGTAATTCCTGTTTCTTAGAGCCAGCATTGGCTGGAAAATTTGCATGGCCTAGTTCTAATTGAAAAAGTTGGGGCGCTTGTTGAAAAGTTGTTGGGAATTTGAAGATTGCCTTTCTGAGCTCAGGGCCCTGTGCAACATGAAACAGTCCCTCCTACCGTCGCTGAGATAATTGCTGTATGTAGGGCATTCAATGCCTTCAGTAACTTCCAGTTCTTCATAACGCTTTGAGTAGTATATATTATGTATCCGATCTTACCAATGAAAGAACTCAGAGTCTGAGAAGTAAAACAACTTATTCAGCAAGGACGGACAGCTGAGGGCTGAGCTATGAGGAGACTTGGGTTGCCTTTCAAAGGGAACGAGCAGCAGTCCTCGACAGAGAGTCCAGGTGAGAAGGGACAAGCTTGCCCCTGCCCGGCCGGAGGTGCTGGGAGCCAGGGCCCAGGAATCCACCCACTGTCTCATTGCCAAGAGGACAGCAAAGAGAGAGCTCGGATCCCATTTCTGTGGCACCTGTGGACATCGACACAGTCAAAAGCAGGACTAAGACCCTTTGACTCAGGTTGGGCTGTTTGGGAGATCCCAGCAAAACTTCTAGCTTGTTCTGAGCAGAAGCTTGACACTGAACACCACTTCTTAGGCCTGTGGTTTGGTAAGACCTTGAATGACTTCATTTTAAAATCAAGAACCAGGTTCCTTCCCCAACCCCACTCACCTGAAAGGAATCTTTCTTTTCTTTCTTTTTTTTAAAAGATTTATTTATTTATTTTTAGACCGAGGGGAAGGGAGGGAGAAAGAGATAGATAGAAACATCAATGTGTGATTGCCTCTAGAGCGCCCCCCCACTGGAGACCTCCCCTGCAACCAGGCACGTGCCCTAGACTGGGAACTGAACCAGTGACTCTTTGGTTCACAGGCCTGCACTCAGTCCACTGAGCCACACCAGCCAGGGCTCTCTTCTTTGGCCTGCAATGTTTTCTAGCCTCCAAAGGGTGAAGAACAACCTGTAAAACACCTTTCAGCTTGGGTCACAGACTCTAGCTGATAGGCCTGGTTAGGAATGATTGCATGTCCAACCAGGAGCCCCAGAGGAGGTGATGCATGATGAGAAAGCGTATGGGAGTGTCTAGCACAGCCCCCTTCCACACGGTGAGGGTGCGCTCCACAAACACGCTGCGGAGTTTTTCTCTCAGCTAAAAGATGTGTTAGGCATTTTACCTGCGAGCTCTCATTCTCCCGATAGCCCTGAGGGATGGGCGTGGCCAGTTTCACCTTACAGGTAAGGAAACGAAGGTCAGAGAGTGCAGTCACATGCCTTGCTTGAGTCTCACAAGCTAGAAAGGGGTGAAGTCACGTTTGAATCTGGATATACCATGCCATAACATCCCATCCACACCATACCATACCATACCATACCATACCATACCATGCCGAAACTTTTAACCACACGGGATAATGAGCTTTCACAATTGGGAAGCTTAATTTTGTGTGTCAGCTCGACTCGGCCATGGAAGGCCCAGACATTTGATCAAACGTTATTTTCAGTGTTAATGTGAAGATGTTTTGGGGTGAGAGTAATGTTTAATTTAGTTGCCTGAGTCAAACATGTTGCCCACCCTAATGTGGGCAGGCTTTATCCAATAAATTGAATGGAACAAAAATGGCTGACCCTCTCCCAAATAAAATGCTTTTTCCCCCTGTCTTTGGGTCTGAACAGAAACATTGGCTGCTCCTGGGTGTCTTGAGCCTGGGGGCTCTCAGACTGGAGCTGCACCACCAGCTCCCCTGGGTCCCCCAGCTTGCTAACTTGCCCTGCACATCACAGGACTTGCTGGCCTCCATGACTATATAAGCCCATTCCTTCTTTTACATACACATCCTACATCTTAGTGGTTCTATCTCTTTGTCTGTCTAATACAATGATGTGTTAAGAATCGTGCTCGGCACTTTGGGGATACAGTGACACAGCAGAGACAAGAAGACAGAGTCCTTATTTTCCAGGTGTTCTCGACACAGGGAAGAAAGGAGACAGACCGATGAATGTACTGCTATGGAGGTTTGAGAAGCAACTGATGAGAAAGAAGAGCCAGGGGATGGGATTTTAGACGGAAGGACCCATGAGCTTGAAGGCAGTGAGGCCAAAGGGCGGAACCTGGTTGGAGGGATTTTTTTTTTAAAGTTCTGAAATTGACAGTATCCATCAGATTCTAGTCAGGGAAACAAAAATTATTTTCATTATTTTAACAACAAGCATCCACTCAGGAGGACTAGTTACAGCACGGAAGAATGCTACAATGGAATCAGTGAGGTAACAGAAATGCTAAGTGTATGAAGTAGCAACCACCCCCAGGGCTGGGGAGCACATGGAGGGAACTGGGGCCATTATAAGTTATAAGTTAGAAGCTTAAACATGTTCCTGAGAACCTGGGATGCAGACACTGAAGAAGGGCATTGCCAGGGGGTACATAGAGGGTCCCATTCTGCCAAGGGCAGGCTGGAGCTGGCTAGCAAGGGGGTTTGGGGGGGGAACCTACTATAACATTTCCAGGAATTTTTTGAGCTAGTTGCTAAGCCTTTAGTAGCTAGAGGTCGCTCATGATGGGTGGCTATAAAAATTGATGAGATCACTCATTGACTAGAGTGCCTGGCATATGGTGAGTACTCAGTCATCATGAGACATTATTGCTATTAGCATTCATCCACCCCCAAGTGTCTGTTTTCGACTCCCACTACTTGAAAGTGACCTCACAGCTCCTGGGATGTCTCAAGAGCAGGCCAAGAATGGAAGACGAGAGCAAACCCCATGTCCATGTAAACCACACACTCTTTTCTTAGTTTTGACCAAGGATCCACCCAGCCCAGGTGGTGGACACTGGGAATGTCAAAGTGTTGCCTAGAGTCATGGCGTGTTGAACCCTGACCGTGTAGCCCTCATGTGTCAAGGTGTTTCCATGCTGACCACACAGAGAGAAGAAATATGTACACTCAGTGCAGCATGGGGAGACGGTTGGTTTCTTCTTTAACCGAATAAAGAATCTGTTTTATTCATGAAGACAGGCCCTTAGAGAACTATCAGAAGAATTATAAAAAATGTAACTGTATCATATAATAAAGCACTGCAATTTCTCTCTGAAATGCTAAGAGTTTAATCTATTAGCTGGTAGACGTAAGAGGGCAAACAAAGAAGGTTCCCCTGGGGGACTGGTGTCTTTGTGGCACGTTCCAAGGTCTGTTTTTGCTTCCTTTGTCTCACAACCAAAAGAAAAGTGGGCCAAGGAGGATGTTTCACCATAGCCACATCTAAAGAGTAAACCCAGTGGCCAGTTTGGAGAGATGTCTAACAGATGTCAAAACACTAAGATTTTCAAGTTAGTATTGAGGCCCTGGGATTCTAGCTCAGTTTGTCCCCTTGAGAGAATTCCAAGGTACAGGAATATCTCATTCCATGGAACCCAGTTCAGTTCTGTGGTGGCAGTGTGTTTACAGAAGGCCAAAACATTAATAAAATAACTCTTATCGTATTATTATTGATTGCTAACATTCCTTCACACATCCTATTTGCTAGAGAAGGGTTTTCATTCATGAAATAAATATTCATTGGATGGCAGTTGTGTGCTAGACAACAGAACAGGGGAAATGTTCATGGAGCTGGGTCATGCCGGCCCTCCAACTTTGTTCTTCCTTTTCAACACTGCGCTGGTTATTCTGAGTCTTTTGCCATTCCACGTGAACTTCAGAATCAGTGTGTCGGTATCCACAAAAGGACTCTTTGGGATTTTGATTTCTGAATGCTTTTGATACAGAAGTCTCTTTTTTCACTTAGCAGTTATTAACATTCTTTGGAATGTGCTTTGGAAAGGCCATCTTATGTTCTTCATGCATTTTATGTAATTTCCAAATTCTCTGTATATGGGCCTCTTCGACTAATTCATCCGATCGTATTGTATGTGTCTCTATATTCACTGTAACACTGGACACATAGTAGGTATTTAATAAAACAAATGGCACCCCGCTAACTCATGAGGTTCTGTGCTCCATTTCACAGAAGGAGGGGACTTCAGCCCAGCCTGGTGTGACATGACCTCACCTTCAGGAAAGCAATGTAACATCATGGAAGGAATGTGGGATTAAAAAGCTCTGTGCCTTACTTTCTTCATTTGTAACGTCAGTGTCTCAAATTAAAGAGTCCCTGAGTTATTCTGGTTGGTGCTCAGTTGGAAGCAGGGACAAAAATTAGGGAAACTGTCCATAATTAATTAAACCCTGGCCATTTGGGGCTGATCATGCTATTTTTTGGCTGCCCTGGAATGTTACTGGAGATAGCAGCCCAACTTCCAACCAGTCTGATTTGGAGATAGCGACTGGCTTCCATGACCGATTCCTGCTGATAAGGAGTTGCCTTCCTGGGCTGGTGACTGCTGATGGTGGGTCAGAGTTCTATCTTTATATATGGTCTGGTCACTGGCCGTGTATACATCCAGTCTCTCACTGCCACTGACTGTTGGGTAGAATTCTCAATTCAGCTCCTCTCAGAATTCTCCAAGTCAAAAGAATGTGTCCAGCGTTGTGGTTTGTGCTTTTGGTAAGGATCACAGTTGATAAAGCCATGGTTCTTTCCAGAAGGCTTTTCTTCTAGTTCACCAGGGTGAAAAAAAGAATGTGTCCGATGCAACAGTTAGCCTTTTCTGATTCTGGAAAAGTGGCCTTTTTAACCTTATGAGAGCTGTGAATTCCCCAAAATATAAAGGATATTTTGATGCTGCGGTTTCAGAACTCTTGGGCACCCACTTCTTCTGCTCCTGTGGGAACCGGCGATGCCATCACAGAACACTGACCTCTCTCCTGGTTATTTCTCAGGATGTGAGTTAGGACTGGACTAGTTTTGTAACATTTCTCAGCAACTTTAGAACGATTCTCAAGATCTCTATTTATTTTATTTTACTTTTTAATAAAAAGGCAAAAAAAAACCCTGTCCAAAGGTCCACCCTCTTTCTGGGCTGTGGCTTAGTTTTATACATTCTGTTAAGAAGTTTTTTTTTTTTCTTTTTGTCATTTTTAAGTGGCCTTTAGACAAAGACAAATTTGTGACATTGACCGTAAATGGCTGTCAAAGCCTTAAATACTTCCTCTCTGGTCCTTCAGAGAGGAAGGTTGCCAAATTCTGCCTTGGTCAATTAATGGAGAGTGTTCGCCAGGTTTTAAACGTGGGGCCCTCCTACGTTTCCAGTGCATTTCCAGTGCGGTGGGGGAACGCCTGCTGTCTCAACAACATCCTCCACAGGAGGGGAAATACCAGTCCTACCTGCCAGGCTGGACAGGGATGAAAAGCAGTTGAAGGTACTCGCAGAGGAGCTGATGTTCTGGCTTCTGGGAACGGTAGGCCTGAGGGTTCTGCTTTGTTTTTAAACCACGGTGCCTCCTCTCCTGTGACCGCCGCCCAGGCTGGTCCTGCTGCTTTTTCCGGTTCAGTCCGTGCCGTGGCTGGCTTCAAGGTGTCCTCACCTCAGAGCCCGGTCCTTCTGACTACAGCTTCCAGATTGGTTTTCCTTACCTTTCCACCAAACACTCTGAGTTTGCCTGTGGGAAAATGATGTAGGACGATCATCAGACAAGTGGGGACAATGTACAATGACATCTTCAAAAATGCATTACGTTAAGTGAAAAATTTGAATACAAATTCTTATAACCAGCGTGTTCTTGACTACTTAAAACATGAACAGACAGCAAAACATGCATCAAAACAAGGCATCAGAAAGGAAATAGCCTTAAGGAACTGGTTGCCACAAGGAAGTGTAAGTTTATCTATACTTCCAAATTTTCTTACTAAAAGCAAGCGTAGTTTTAAAATCAGACAAAAGACAGGCTGACCTTCCACTACTTTGATACATGTAGTCAGAAGAAACACTTACACACTGGCACTCAGATGTCTTTTTGGGAGCAGATGAAAAGCAAATTTCTAAACATGTAATTTGGGTCAAATTGTCACAGTTACCAGAAACTGGCAGAAAAGCAAGAAAAATGGATATTAGAGAGCCTTGAATTATTCTGGTAACTACTTCCATGCTAAGAATTATAGTTGTCCTAACACTTAATATATTTAATTTTCAAAACATAAAAGTCTAAGTAGAAATAAAAGCCCTGGATGTATTTGAAACTCGCTGATGCCTTCTTTTTCGCATAGAACAAATCCATTGCCTCTCATATTTATTTTTATTGCCTCTATAAATCGATTGGGGACAATAAAAACCCAGAAGCCTGAATATCAGGAAGGAAAAGAGACTTGGTCACAACTTGTTGGGAACTCTCTGAAATACATATTTATTCCGAGCTGCAAAAGTGCTGAGTGTCAGCATCATTTTCTCTTTAATAAAGGAGAGCAGGTCTTCTCTAGCAGGCAGCGGATGTGTCGGTGGCAGGCAGGCCGGCGGTTTGGCGGTTTCTCAGGTCGTTGTCACCACCTGACTTTCACAGTTTTTGTTTTTGATGTTATTTGTTCCTCCTTCCTCCCCGGGCTATCCTGAGATGTGTGAGCGATCAGAGCCTATCATTCTGAATTTGCCGTCCAAATTTCTGTCCCCACCCTATTTCCCCTTCCTCTGTGTCACAGAGGCTCCCACAGCACCCTGGGCCTCTCTGTGCCACAGCCCCCGTCACCCTGCCCTGCCCTCACCCCCATGCCACCTGGCTCCCCCAGTGGACCAGCAGCTGGTAAAGCTCTCCGAGTGCAAGGGTCATGCCTTCTTCCTCTTGAAATTCTGAGCAGCCAACCTGGAGCCTAGAACGTAGACTTGAATAATTTTTTTTAAGTAAATAAGCTGAGTGAAACCAAATTAAGTAATCACCTGGAGTACTTGCTCCCTTTCGAGCGCTTGGCCTATGTTAACTCATGTGATCTCCGTAGGAAATAACCAGGCAGCACGCGCCTTGTCCTCACTCGCGTGGGAACGGGATGGGGGCACGGCGGCGACGGCAGGCTTTCTGGCGTTAGAGCGGAGGCTGCGGCGAGCAGGGCTTCTCCTCACACCGTCCTCCCAGACGCACTGGGGTGATGACGGTGGCAAGTTCCCGTGAGCGCCTTGTATTGCAGCCGGGGCGAGAGCGGGCGGTGCTGGAGCACAGATATGAGTCCAGCAGAGACCTTGCCTCTGCCCACCTCGTGGAGACTACCCCTCATTTCTCAGCCTGTTAGACGTCGGGGTGTCTGGCATTCATCTCGACCCTTGGGCCCCAGTCCAGGCTGGTCCACCCTCACACCGTGGGATCAGGCCCATAGCAACAGGCCACCGGCCTTGGGGCCTTCTTCAGGCACTTGTCCTGATGAACCCTATTGTTTCTTCTGTGTTCTGATCTCTCTCTCTCTCTCTCTCCCATTTGTTCCTATGTCTCCTTGGCTACCCTCTGGCCGTCTTGGCTTTGTTTTCAGCTCTAGCTCCTCCAGCCCTTTTGATCTCACAGCTGCCCTTGGCTTCCCTGGCTGAGCCTGACTGCACCCAGTCGGCACTCACCGCGGACTCTTCTAGCCCTGGCGGCTTCTGGCCCAAATCCTGCTTGACCGAACTCCAGCTCTAGTCCCAGCCCCCAGTGCTGACCTGGCCCTAAAGACAGGGATGGGGTTCCCCAGAGCTTTCCACACAGCTAAACAGATCAATGGCGTGGTGGTTTGCACACCTCCAGCTTCACAGTGGGGGTGGGTGGGGGGGTGACTGTAGGCTTTTCTTACCGATCTTGGGCTTATCTCCCCAGCCTCACCATCAGCACTCCGCGTGTGACCCCCCCAGACTCCCATCCACCCTTGTCTTAGGGCTTCTGCACACCCAATTAACTCCCACTGCCCAGGAGACTTCTCAGGCCCAGCTCACCCTGTGGACCTCAGTTTTGATGTCACTTCCCCTGAGAAGCTCTCACTGCCTACAGCCCCCATCCCTGTCCCTGATCACAGAAGCGCCTTTTCTTTTTTTCTCCGTTGTCACCCAGGACATCTCTGTCATCATCATCGCAGCTGACAAAGGAGTGCCTCATCCGTGCAGGCTCCGTTTGAAGAACTTGACAAGAACAAACTCAACTGTGCCTCCCCAGCAACCTTGAGACAGGTACCATTTTAATCTCTATTTTGCAGATGATGATATCTGCCTCAGGGAAGATAAGGAGCCTGTCTCGGGCTGCACGGGTAATTAGGCGTGGTCAGGTGCTGAACCAGAGGTGTCTGCAGCCACAGGCTTTCGGCTGCATCTGGTGGGTGGCATTTCTCACACTGTTTGCGCTGCCTGCTTCCTCCCCTGTGTGTTCGCCACTGTATCTCGGCATGAAGTGCCACTCCTGGCAAAAATTAAGCTCAATGAATGCTTTTCATGGGAGAAATGCCTGAATTGTACTTACATTTCACATCTCGCAGATTCAAATAATCCATTCTTGATTTGGCGAGATCAAGTCCGACTGAGAAGGGAGGGCAGCCAGTCCACACTGGTGTGCTGTCTTCGGCTTCCCAGAGGATTTCTGTGTTAATCAGCCTTATTCAACACAAATCAGCCTTATTCAGCCTTATTTGAGCTGGAAGTGTCGTGTCCAGGCCTGAGCATTTTCTCCAGTTGGAGATTGGGGCCAGAATGTTTAGGTGACTCATCCAAGGTCACACATGGAGCCAATGACAAACAGGATGCCAGGTGGGCTGATTGCCAGTCCTGTGTCCTTTCTTTACACCTGGTCAAACAGAAACTACAGTCACATGAGGGCGGTGCAGTGAAAACAAACGCCAAGTCTGCAACTGGTTTGATTAGGACTTCAAACAGCTTGAAGGCGCTCTGGCTTCAGTGCTTCCCGGGGCTGCGATCAGCCCACAGTAAACACAGGGAGCTGCCCGGGAGGCGTATTTGCTCCAGGAAGGGCCGGACTCTGCAAAGGCCCTAGGAATGTTTCTCTTACAGCTCGTCCTTTGTTGCTGTGTGACTTTGGGTGCATTGGTTTGACTCTCTGGTCTCCAGTCTCCTCCTCTCTTATACAGCCTGAATGTTTATGTTCCCTCAACATTCATATGTGGAAGCCCTAACCCACAACATGATGGTATTTGGAGGTGGACTTTGGGTAGGTAATTAGGCTTAGATGAGGTCATAAAGGTGGAGCCCTCAAAACAGGATTGGTGTTCTTATGAGGAAGGAAAGGAAAAGAGAGTAGAGCGCTCCCTCTCTCTCCCTCTCTCTCTCTCTCTCTCCCTCTCCCTCTCCATCTCTATTTATCTCTCCAGCATGTGAGCAAGGCCACAGTGAGAAGGCAGCCATCTATGAACCAGGAAGAGGACTCTTCCCAGGAGCCAAATCTGCCACCTTGATCTTGGGTTTCCCCCCCATCAGAAATGTGACAGTGAATGTCTGTTGTTCAAGCCACCAGTCTATGGCGTCTTGTTAAAACAGCCTGAGCTGATTAAGACACAGGGCTTTATAAGCTTGATCTTGAAGCCTCCTTGGGGCTCTGCAATCCTAACATTCTCGCTCAAGGTCGCCTCTGTATCGGTGGCATTCATTCCTGCCACTGTGCTGTCCCAGCCACTCCTCCTCACTGGTATGTTTTCTCTGACTCCTGGTCATTAATCAAAATCTTCTGCTAATTTAGAGGTTGGTCACCAGTCTCAGCTCGCAGGGATAAAGGAAAAGCAGTGCCTTTGGGTCACATTCAGATACTTCTTTTTATTTGTATGCAACCTTGCCTCCATCTCCAAAATGGAGTTAATAATACTTATAGGGCAAGAGTTGTGATCATTAAATGGAATTAAGCATGTTCAGTACTCACATAGATCGAAGCTGGCAACATTCTTTTACAAAGAACAGACGGTAAATAATCCAGGCCTGCAAGACTTCTGGTCTCTCAGCATTGCTGTTGTGGAGTGAACATGGCCATGGACAATATGCAAACAAATAGGTGTGGCTGTGCGCCAATAAAACTTTATTTATAAAAATAGATGGCAGACTGGACTTTCACACCCCTCCCCCACTACCTGCAGCACGGTGCTTCCCTGCCCCATGCAGTAGATATGGTTCTCATTATTATTATTTTTTAATCTAAGCAAACAGTTTTGTATTGTCTCTCTTTCCATGGACTCCCCTTCCCTCCCTGCCTCACCTTTCCTTTCCCATGTCTTGGGCACCTTAACGGCAGAAATGCAGATGTTTCATTGATGTCCCTTCTCCCAGAGGTCCAAGCAGCAGCACTACTAGATACGTCCTAAGTGTTTGGGGAAATGAAAGAAAAAGGAGTGCCCCCTCTTTGCAAGCCCAGGGCCCAGTGTCTGAAGGCCCCCGAGTGCAGTGGCGTGGGCTTGGTGCCAGAGGAGAAGAAAGCCTTTCTCAGGACCCAGGCAGCCTGCAGACTGGGCGGGGCTCTGCCTCATAAAGAGATGCTGTGCTCTGACATTAGTGAAAAGCCCCAGCTGGCACACTGGGGAGGTGGCCAGCGGCGGCGGCGGCGGGAGCTGGTGTGTGGGTCCACTGCAGAGGTGCCCTCGTCCTGCCAGCCACACAGCGGGCTGCTGATAGGAAGGCCGTTGTTCCTTGTCCATTGTGTGGAGCTCAGGGTGTTTGGGGCTATGGGCAGGGTTGGGAGCAGTCACTCATTTCCCAGAGCTCGGCTCAATGGCAGCAGAAAGATAAAGGGCCAGGAGAGAAGGAAGAAAGTGCCCTCCATGCTAATGTGCCAGCTCGGAAATTGAAGTGACCTGCCAGGCAAGCATTCTCGGAGCAAGGATGACATTTGCTGTGAGTCGTTCTGAGCTGGGAGTGGGAACTGGGCTTTCAGAGGCTGGTAATTGGAATGTGCCGAGATTCAGTAATAACCCATCTGGCAATGATTCTGCTAATCCCAGTATCCTGGCCAGGGGCCAGGCAGAAACAAAATCATGTTCTCTCCTCTTAATCCCCAGTGTAGTTCCAACTGGACTCGGCCAGTCCCCAGCCCTGCAGGATTTGCCAGTGTTGTTGTGCCTGGCTCAACAGGTCAAGAAAGCCCCTGGAAATGCCACTAGCTGCCCTAGGGCCTCAGGATGGCCAGGCGTCAGAAGGGGCCAGGGATGACTATGGGGTGATGGAAGACCCAGCCTTGGGTTGAACCCTGGCCCCACACAGGGAGGTAAAGAATTTCATCCTCCTTCCTTTGAGAGATGGTCTCCGGGGACCAACTTTCTGGATTCACCTTTCAGCTCTGTTATTTAACCAGCTCTGTGATTTGGAGGTGTCACGTAATGTTTTATGCCTCAGTTTCCTTGTGTGCCAAACAGAAACAATACTGGGACTCCTCAAATTGTTGTCATCAGCATCGAAGGAGCAAATTAGCACACACACAGAGACACACATTGGAAGAGAACATTGCCCGTAGTGGGCATTTGTTTGGGTTTAAGATTTGGGTTATTACTTCCTTACCGTAAGTGGGGGGTAAAGATGTGCACTTCCTAGGGTTGTCCTAAGGATGAGATGAGATCATGAACGTCATGTCCCCGTTCCCGGTGCGTGGTCATCCCTCAGTGATCGTTGACAACTTTGTGGGTCCCTTCACTGCAGACTTGACTACGTCTGTAGAGCCAGTTTCCAAATAAGGTCACATTCTCATGTACCACGGGATAGGACTTGGGCATATCTTTTTGGGGGACGCAAAATGCAACCTTATAACGCTGGGCCAGGCCTGTCCGGGAGCAAGGATGCAGACACGAATGAGGCCTGGCTCTGGTTTTGAACCAGTCCTGGTCTGAGGAGCTGACGGGACATCTCAGAAAAACGAGCAGATAAAGAGCACACAGCGCAATCAGCACCCCAGTAGTCACATTTGCAAAATGCATTTTCTTCTAATCGTCTGTTTGGTTCCCCTAATTTTCACATTTAAGTTTTCAATTTTTCTTTCATCATTTATTGATATCTGAGGTTGGTTATACTATAGTGATCTGAAGTTATGATTCAAGAAGGGTGGCGATTGCTACTTCTCTGTGAGGATGGCTCCTCTGGGCCTCCGTTCCCTCATGTGAAAGAGTCGATTAGGCACATTATTGGTTCTTAACTTCAGTGGCACACTCATCACTCGGGAAGACTTCAAAAGCAACTGCTGACAGCTGGGGCCACCCTCAGGGATTTTGATTTTGTTGCTCAGGATTGGGACCCAAACATCAGTACTTTTTTTTAAAAAAAAACCTTCCTAGATTATTCTAGAACGCAGCCAGGCCAAAGACTATGAGCCCTCAACGCCACTGGGCCCACCTGCTCTGCCAACCTTGGGTTCTAGTCAGTGATGCATTTTCTTCCCAGGTTAAAGGTGCTCTCATGTCTGTCAGAGCTGAATGTAAGCGGGACCCTGGAGGGATTCTCTCCCCTATCTGTTTGCCCAGTGCTGCTCTTTCCAGCACTTTAACACCCAGAGGGTAGACTCTGAAAGCTTTGCCCCCAAAGGGTGTCTGCAATAAAGTGCCCTGGCTGGGGGAACTGCCAGCAGGTGTAGAGAACACATGCAAAGATGTCAGCGATTTCTGTGGGTTACGCCGTCCAGTCCACAGTAGGTTGTTAGAGTAGTGTAAGCAAACTGATACAATGGGATACACTTGGAACATATCAGAATGGTGTGTGAGGCCTTTTCCCTTCTAATTCCCATCTAGCTGTCAGGTCACCCATAGTCCTTTGCTTTACCCACTCATAATGGGGTTTCCTGGCCCACGCTGCTCTTTGGGATACATGGCCTTCCCTCTGCTGGGAATAGCAGAGGTTGTGTTCCTTTAACCCGTCACTGTTCCCTTCAGCACCACACCTAAAATTCCATTTTGTGTTCTTGTAGTACCCGAGACAAGCCTGTCTCACCACAGTACAATGTCTTACAGTTGTTCCTTACGCTCTCTCCTTCCCCCAGTTGACTGTCTCATTATCTCTGTAGTGTCGGTGGAACTCAGCATGGATCCTGGTACCTGTAGATTTTGCACAAATGTGTGTTGAATGGATTAATCAATGAATGGATTACGAGTGAAGCCAGGCCTCTCAGTGCCCTTTGAGTCAGCCCCAAGCTCCCTCACATGGCCTACTCCACCTTTACCGCCTCTTCCCGTGCCGCCTGCACTGGGCACCGGCCGTGGAAGCTGCCTGCCATTCCGTGCTGCCTCCCGTCCTGAAGACTTCGTGCGTTCCTTCTCCTCTGCCTGGGATGTGACCCTGCTCTAACCAGCCTTAAACCAGAGAGTCACTACCCGTGCTTCAACTAGTCGCTAAAGGGCTCCTTAGGGAAGGCTTTCTTGACTTCTCGTCTTCCCGGAAAGGACTGCTTCCTCTGACCTTTGTTCACACAGCACCTTTCTGTTTTCTTCTGAGCACTTAACCCTGAGTGCTCTGGCGTATCTGTGTGATTACAGAGCAGCAGTTGGGCCGACGGACCGGGCGATAAGGTCCCTGAGAGCAGGGAGGTTTTGTTCGCTCGCTTGTATGTTTTTTTGGAGCAATGTCTCCCCAGCATGCAGGGCAGTGCCCAGCAGAGAGCAGACCAGGCATTCCTAATCGGACCAGGAGACGGCGGATAACCGAGTGCTAAGGGAGTTGCAAGATACAAATCAGACCCTACTTTTGGCCATTTTCTCCCTCCACGTCACTTCATTCACATGAAGTTATCTAATAGTGGCCAGAACAAATCAGACTCTCGGTCTCAGAGGCTTCACCCTTGCTCCCCTTGGTTCCCGTCCATGCTTGAACAAAGGCTGCAGTGTTCAGGCTGCCAAGGGGCAGGTTGAAAGGTGAAGACGGATCCAAAGCCCTCAGGACTCACGGAGGAGGGGCCCGAAGAAGCTCTGTTATCAGGAACAGCTTCAGGAGCTAGAGCTTGTGCCTTGCCTGGAGGGGAGGGCAGAGCTGGACTTCAGAAAGGGAGGTGTTAGGGAAGAGCAGTTTCGATTCCTAGTAGAATTTGAATGCATCATAGCTTGGTAGTTAAGATTTGTGCTTCTGGAATCTGACTGCTGGGGTTCAGATCCTGGCTTTATCCCTCATTGGCAGAGTGACTCCAGGCAAGCTTCTTAGCCTCTCTGGGCCTCAGTATTTTTTTTTTTTACCTATTGAAATGGAAGTTAGGAGTAGTCCTGACCTGATAGAATTGGGATGAGAACTAATTGGGTTAAAAAATATAATGGGCTTAAAACAGTACCTGGCACACAGGATGTATCCAGGAAAAGTTATTAGATGTTACTGTGAGCCACTCTTGGTGTTTTTAATCTGTGCAGAGAAACATCCATTACTGCATTACTGCTGACCTCCTTCCCAGAGAAGAGTAACTCACCTCATTCGAGAGGTTAGAGGGAGAAACTGGCCAAGCGTAGAAGCTTCTCTACGTTTCAGCATCTGAAACGCTGGGGGCTGTCTGGTAGACCTGTGTTCAATACAGCTCTTCTAGAATCAAGTGCGCTCTGGCTCACAGCTGCATGGCTGGGCAGTTCTAGGGTTCAGTGTTAGGGGGTCCAAACGCCACTGGTTATAACTAGATTCTCTAATATTAGTTGAAGGGTAGTCAAACTTTGGTCCCATCTCCCTGCCTTCTGTCTTTTATTTCTCTATTGATTTGGAACTTAGACAGGAAAGCGGATTGTTACCTTTAAAGACCCCCACAGGACTACATTTAAATTGAGCAGAGAAACACCAGAGCATGAACGGCAGGGGCCTGTGAGAGCCGAAACAGAAAGTCAGTGTCCTTTGGGGCGATCAGTGAGAACAGAAAACCAGTGTTCCTGCTTGCATCTTCAGTAGACTCAGCGCACTGGAGTCTGGTTTTCTTGATGGGAAAATTCTCCCGGAACTCTTACCACCACCAGGTACGATACACAGAATAGGTTTCCTTTGAATCACGTGTTTTCTCTAATCAGTTCTTGAGGCAACTTTTCATACCTGTGGAGTAGTGGGGAGAATGTATGTCAAATGTTGGCGCTACAAGTCTTTGATGTTTGATTCTCATCAAGGTTTTTCATCTTTGTGGGCCCCAGCTTTCTCACCTGCAAGATGGGAACAATACTATCTACTGTCTTGAAGGTTCTTACAAGGTTAAGAAGCAGAAAACACACATGGACAGCACAGAGCACAGAGCCTTAGACATAACAGTTCTTTTTTTTTTTTTAAGATTTTACTTATTTATTTTTAGAGAGGGAAGGGTGGGAGAAAGAGAGAGAGAGAAACATCAATGTGTGGTTGCTAGGGGCTGTGGCCTGCAACCCAGGCATGTGCCCTGACTGGGAATCGAACTTGTGATGCTTTGGTTTGCAGCCTGCACTCAATCCACTGAGCTACGCCAGCCAGGGCGACATAACAGTTCTTCAACAAAGTCAGTTTTCTTCTCAAGAAAAAGGAGAATAGATTGAACATCCTAGACTGCTCTGTCTGAAAGAGAATCTTGTGAGGGAACAGTTTCTTCCCAGTGTTTATGTGCAAAACAGGAATATGAAAAGGCTTCTGGTTTTAAAGCGAAGTAAATGCAGGAAACCTTTATCTTTCAGCTCAGACCTGGCATGTGGAAGTCTGCTGGAGCACGATTTCATGGCTGAGCTACAATCCTAGAAAATAACATTCTAAGTTTGAAGTTCCACGGTGACCTTCCCATTCCAGCCCTATTTGAAAGGAACATTCTAAATCTACCGTGAAGTGGCATTTAGGAGTTGGATGAAGTTCTCGCTGAAGGAGAAAACAGGCAGGTAGCAATACAGGTGGCTGTGTTGTTTTGGCAGCTTCTCATCTGGCGAAAACCAGAAATGATGTCTGGT